ATACATATATTCATATATATATAGAGCAAGACTGTAGAATATAGAGATTAGAGAGCAGAAAGCCAGAGACTATGTAACACTTTACTCTGTCTCTCCACCTGTATCTCTCCACCTATCTCTCAGTCTGTCACTCGTAGCGACTCTCTTTGAGTAATAAAGAGGCGTAGTAGTAAAAAAAGATAATATTGTATTATGTGTTTTTATATATTATATATCTAATTAATATTTTGCACATCCACGTGAGACTGTGACTGTTTAGGTGTCCGTGTTTGACTGTTTGTATTGACAGTGTTTTGTGATTTTGGCTACAGCTTTCTCATTATTGCGTGTTTCTATTAATCATTCAATCTATCACACTCATCCGGGAGACAGGAATTCTTCATAGTTGCATTTGCAAATTTGCAATACTACTATACTTTACTTATTTAAAACTTTTGGGTATTCTGAAAATTCAATGTTGTACAGTATAATTGTATATAATATATTGTATTGTACCAGCTACAGGCGCAACTTGACGACTTAATCAGTGCGTCGCGTAGGAGTTGCAAGAAGTACGGCAGTCGTGCGCGTGGCGCCGCCTGATTTAGTGGTCGACTTGCGCATTTTTGAACTACATACTATAAATGAAAATCACGAATACAGAGTAATACGAGGCAGATATTTGTTATGTTATTCTCGCGCGTGTACTTACTGAATTTAAAGATCGACATCAGATATCGACAAATGTGAGCCTTAGACACTCTACAACGATTAACAATTCGGTACCTCTTTACAAACAACTTTGTGAGAGACGTGGTAAAACCTCTCAATTTATTAGAAAAAATTCAGATTCTCCTGCGCGCAGTCGCGACTACATTCTATATTAAGAAGGATTTAATCTGGATTGATTGCATTACGATCATCCGCTTTCAATTCCGAGAAAATCAGAATAATTGAAATGCGTTTCTACTTGATTCTTATCATCCGACACGAAGGACAGACATCGGTCCAGCATTGCCAAATGGCTACTGCCATCAGAATCCTTACGTGCCACCGGCGACCATAAGCCTGCTATATTCTGCGATGTAGTTTTAACATTTCTCACGGCCAAAGAAGGTGCCGTGGTATTACATTTCATCGTTACAGCCGGTTGCGATGGCGAATTGCTTCGAAATAAGGATACAGAGGGCGAGCTCCCGTCCTTACTCTTGAGCGTCCGACAAATTTGTGAGTCGAGCAAACTGTTATGTTCGTTTGTCGACGAACATTTTACCAATCCGAACCCATTGTCGTAAAGTTGGAAATTATCAGCCAATTGTACACTATCCATCAAATTGATATCTGATGCGCAACTCATCAGGTCCTCCACATCAAATACGGATGCCAGTGAGGATTCATTGGTCGAAGCCTGTTGTCTTAGGTTGCTGCCTGTTTCTAGTCCGATTTCAGCATCCGCATCCGCAGCAAGCTTTGATCCAAGGCTCGAAGCCAAAGCTTTTGTGTTATACGGTGTCATTGGCATGTCACCATCCTTCGTACCTGCTTCGCTATTTTGCGTAGACAGTATTTTCTTATCCACAGCTGTAGGCCGCAGTGCGGAGAATAAGGGTTGAATCTGTTGCCGACCCTCACCAACATTGATTGTGTTATTTGTATCTGGAAAGATGTCGTTCTCTTGTAGGTCTAAGTTCTGGTGGAGCAGCAGCTGCTGATTAATCTGTATCTGTTGGTGTCGCAGAAGGGCTTGTATTAATTGCTGTTGCTGTTGTAGTTCTCGTTGCAAACATCTCGATGCGCGTTCTAATTGCTCCTTCGCCTGCGAATCTCGTAAGCTGGGGTGTGGTTCTTGCTCAAGCTCATTCGTAGAAAGTCGCTTTAGGTTGGGTCGCGGCAATAATTGAGGCGGCTCAGTTTTAATTTTGAGACTCGTCGAGAATTCAGCATCCAACGTGTACTCTGAAATATCCTCATTCTTCGCACAAACACTATGCGTGATAGTCTCTTGATGCTTCAATGTCGTCTCCGGTAGTGTATCTATGGTAGCCAGTGTATTGAATTCTGCCTGTTCCGATACTGATTGCTCCCTTCTTAATTCGAGGTTAGATTTGTCCGCAGTACTGTGCTGTAATAAGCTACTGCAGACTTTCCCTCTCATTTGACTTTTTCGCCTATCTATATCGTGCATTATTGCTACAAGCTTTCGGTACTGCTCAGTAGGGGGTATACCTGGCATACTGTCATGGGAGTTCGATCTACTGTGTGATAAGTGCCAGAACATCAGAAATTGCGGTGGTACATTGCTGGTCGTGAGGTATCAACACACACTTTCACTAAAACAATCGATTGCAAAGGTCGTGTTCACTGAAATTGATGAAGACAGAATGTGACTTCAATACACACATACTGTCATTGAGTTACCTAAATTGTTGCTAACGTGCAAATCGCGAGATTAAAATTGTTACACAAGTTTCTTCTCAGCAACACACAAATTTTTATTCTTCTTCAGTATCGTAAACACTTACAACACTTCAAAATGAACATCACGAGCACGTAAAAATACTACTTACATCTTCATACACATGGAGAGTATATCATGTTATCGTTAGATGCACAAGCTAGCAGAAAAAAAACACACCTCCTATATACTGATTTCATACCTGATGATGGACGATGCTGAGCCGCCAATGTAATTCTCTTGGCTAGGAGCAAACCTGTGATCTACGTCACTATCAGCACTGTCCGCCGGTGAAGAGCTTGTGCATGAATTTGCCGACAGTGGTGGCGTTTTATTTAATGAAAAGTTTGTTGGACATATGGATTGCAAGTCAATCGACCTACAGTAAGTGGAGGGAGCGCGATAATATATTAATGACTAATCGCGTTCAGTACGAAGGTAATTCGCCTACAATGTAATTATTCATGAGGCAAGATTTCATAGCTGTCCATTTGAGTGACGAGGAGTAAGAGAGAAATAAAAAGTAGTATAACCAGAGAAGTGACAGATCTGCTATCTTCAGATGAGCACAAACTTATGTAGGCGAAGTATTACTTACTGTGGCTGAAAGTATCCTGGAACAGGTTGAATGTCTGGAGCTGATGGTCCTTCATCAAAGCCAGTAAATGGAAAGCAGGTGTTAGAATCGGTACTACAATCTGCATCAGTCGTGCCGACTGAGGCCGCAGAAGCCTGTTCTTGAGATCCAAAAAAGCCAACTTCGACTGTAGGCTCAACAACCGAATAAGATACGGTTCGCTTCCGGAGAAGACATTTGGATGGTTTCACTTCTGCAGACAAGTACGTGGGTGTTTGCGGTCAGATAGTAAATCTTTTGTCATTAGTGTCAAACTCAGATTGTCATCGAGCTACAAATCAGGAAAATAAAGATCTGATGCGCAACTGACTATCGTTCACCGTGCAATCAACATTCAATTTGGAACATACCTATTTTGTAATTCAGATTCCTTTTCGTCCCGAAACTAACTTCATTTTCCTCTAACCCGAAGAAGGAATGCTTTCGTTTCTTATGCTGTTAAAAAGTAAGTAGCATTGATAGTCAGCAACAAAACATGATACATGATGTCAAAGTGACAAATTGTCAGAATAGAACCTGACAGTACGTATAATCTCGGAAAAGATTGCACAAAATAGTGGTGTTGGTAACTTGTACCTGTTTGAGTGACTGTTCCGAGGCGTACGGCCTACTGCAGCCCAATACATTGCAATTATAATTGCGCTCCATATCTTTCAGCTTACGGCGGGATCTATGCATCTTCCTGCCGTGTTCTCGCTGATGATCAGTTGCTTCCACTTTAAAATCCTGCATCACCATTCTGTTGTACTGGTAAACAATGAACCTCCTGAAAATACTTCGCTTAAGGTGTGATTTAAATTGAAAAGATTGTAGAACGCATTGGATAATTCTACTTCCAGAATTCAAATGCGTACGCGTTTATTTAGACAGTCGAAGGTAAATATGAATAGTTTGAGTGCAAGTCTTTGCGTTTTGAACATTCATCACTATCGAAAATGAAAAATCAACGACAACAACAATAAATTGAAAATGGATGAATGTTTATTACAATAAAATTTTATTATGACCGATAGTCCAAGGACTCCAGGCCAAGACCCTTAACTTCTTTAAAAATAGAGCCGAAATGTACATAAATATCAAAAGCCGTGTATATTTCTAGAAATAAATATATGGTAGTTATTATATTTCTGTTAATAACTGTTCCACTCTTTTTTACTCCGAGCCTCCGATACTTAAGCCACGCTGAAGAAATAGAAGAATGATTATGCATTTTTATTTTTTTATGCTCCCCCCAGTGACTGTCTGCAGTTTCACTTTCTGCACGCAATATTGAATATTCACAGTTTCGCTTTTAAACATCACATAAATATTTTTTAAAAAGAAATACTATATTTACATTTTTACATACGCACAACAAGTGGTAGACAAGTATCAAGGCACCGTTTCACCAATCACTATACAGAAGATAATAAAAGAATTGAGGCACACGATCCCAATCTATTTATCACCTCTGGGGGTTTATTTTATCCCAATTCTCAAACAGTCAATTATGTAAATACAAGAGGAGGGCTACATAATGTTCGGTTTTTCTCTATATGAAAAACCTTATCGGAACACGGGTCAGGAAAGTGGGTTTTAACTATATATTTACATACACGGTAACACGGTTTGCCGTTTGAGATTGATAGCAGAAGGCTATGGATTTATGTATCACGGTTGTTTTCCAAAAAAAAGAATAACCCGTACTTGCGCGAGCTGGGGCCACTTGAGGATAGTCATTACTATTTATTTTAATATATCAGGTATATAGTAGTATAAATAGTGGAGGTAGGCTCTATGGAAAAAAGCCTTTTATAAAAGCAACTCAACAACAAAAAACAAAAGTGGTCGCAGCACACGCAGTGTGCACACGGGTCACGGAGGCACAGCACACCCTCTGAAAAAGAACAACAACGCTATTTATTGGTACATCTACATTTCTTTTAAAATAAATAATATATACCCGACTTGGTGCTCATTTGTCGAATTTTCTCAGAGATGATCTGGAACATTTCTGGCGTTGTGGACTGTCTTTGCTCTTCAGTCTATTTTGAATTTTCGACCTCAGTTGGTTTCTCATGAAAAACAAACAAACAAATTTGTCGTATTTATATCCCTTTATATCAATTATCAGTCCTGGCCCGGCCCCTGGGGCCTGGGGCCCTGGGCCATGATTCCATTTTGGGTTTTTTTAAAAAATACAAAAAGGAGGCTGTGCTCAAGAACTTTTAAAGAAGTATGGCGCACACTGGGCCACAGTCCAAACAACCGGCGTCTTCTTGGACCCCAACTTCAACTATTTATACACAAGTTCGTGAATATTTTTTGAAATCGGGTTTTCTAGATGGATTTGGGCTTATCTCATTGATCTAATAGAGATGAGCGGGTTGGAATTTGATACCACAATAGTTCAAAATTTAGATTTTCAAAATATGCCAAATGCACAAATGTACAGGTTTTAGGACATATGAAGGTGTTGCAGGCCTCAAATGACCTCAAACTCATCGGATTCGGGTTCCTCTATTGCAGAGCCTTCAGTACATATTTACAAGCTAATCTGACATATTCTTTTTTGTGTGCCAGAGAAGCCGTGTGTGTGTCAGATCAGTGAAATCGGGTTTGTATACCCAGATGGGCCAGAACCTCTGAACTGACCCCAAAGGTCGAAATATGCCAATCCCTTTTGATTGTATTTTTGGACAGCTCACCAACAGCCGAGGACTTGGATGATTTGCTTTTTAAATTTGGATGGTTTGATCAAAGGTCATTCGTGTTTGAAAATCGGGTTAGAGACCCCGGTTATTGAATGAGTGCACCATAAGTGGTTTATCTTTTATGCGATATACGTTTTTAATGTATTTATAAAAGTCAATCTTATATGCGTTTACGGTAAACGTTTTCTACTCGGTACAAAATGAACTAACGTTTCACGTGAATGACCACTCTCTTCACTCACTTCAGCCTCCTCACTCCTGTGTATTTCTTGCTCAATCTTTACAACTTTTTTTCTACTCTGCCGTTCGACAACAAGAAATTCGAATCTGAACCGAGTCAAATGACAGGCGTATCAGAAAGACTTTCGAAAGTCGCTCCCTTCGAATAAGTGAAATAACTAACCGGAAGAAGGCCCAAATAACAGTTTGTGAAATTTTCAATCGCCTGTGTGTATATACTATTTAGCTCACCGAGCACAGTCCTGTATGAGAGATTGAATGGAAAGCGATAAGGTGGCTTGGTCTGACTAGAAAACGACAAGCAAATGACAATATACCTTTATTCATAATCTCTAATTTTTAACTCCCTTTTAATACTACTCGATCATATCGTCATCCGATTCTTCGCTATCGGTCACCTCTTCTCCGACATCCAGCACAAACTCATACTCTTGATCGCATCCCATGTACGAGTCACACATTAGGAACAGTGTTACATTGTGTGCACCTTGCACAGGCGCCACGAAGTCTAACTTTGAACTGGCCTTCATGTTCAGAGCTACACGCTTGATGGATAATAGCGTGTTCTTTTCCATATCCCCCACAACCAGCCACCAGTTCTCAGCTTTCGCTTTAGGATAGAAAGGCGCCACAACAGGTGAAATAGTATTATCTCCGTCTTCCTCTCGCTCCAGCGTGACGTTCATTGTTACGGATTTTCCAGCTGTGATTTCTTTGGGCGATACCTGATATGCATCATGAAACACGAGGAGATATAGATTAAAAACTAAATATAGATTAAAAACTAAATATAGCCCAGTCGAACATAGTCCATCAAGTTATGGAACATGGCTTCAGATACTTTTCCAAATAACCCATAAACTGTTTAATATATATATATATATATATATATATATATATATATATATATATATATATATATATATATATATATATATATATAGTATAGTA